TTCTGCCCTTTTTTCTTGGAAACACACATTTTATTGGTTTCATTGCTGACGTAGATACATAGTCATAAATGAACCGATGAGATGGGTATCAAATTTTACAGTAAATGTGACATTATATAACCCATCGTATTCATCTTATCAGCTAATTTAATGACTAGGTGTCTAAGTCAGCAATGAAACCGATAAAATGTATGTTACACGAAGAAACGGGTCAAATCATCAGTAAATTTTATTTTGGGACTTATTCGCAAATTAGGGTAAAATAATGAGACTTTAGTGAAACATGTAAGTAATAAAACCGGTAAACCGGAAAAAAGTGGTCAAATCGCCATTTTTACCGGTAATTCATGTTTTTTCGTAAACAAATTTTAGTTTGGAACTTTTTCGTAAATTATGGTAAAATTTTAGGACTTTTCTGGAGATTTCCCAATAGAATTTTTAATATTGTCCAACAACTTAGTGATTGTATATATACAAAAAATTATATGATCATTTAAGATTTAATCATGAGTCACGCCATGAGAAATTTATGATAATATTGTAATTTATGATAATATTGTGAATATTTGATGTTTGAAACTTCACTTAAACATAATTGGCAAGTTTATAATTTGCATTTAAATATTATAAATTGGAAAGTTTATAATTTGCATTTAGATATTATAAATTTTCTGATTATTTATTTATTTTATAAAAACTTCACTTAAACATAGGAAACCTTCCACATATTATAAAATTTCACATAAATATAAAAAACAAAGAATTCACTTAAACAATAATATAATTATTTTTTTCATCATAGCTTTATTAAGTCTAAAATATTTATAATATAGATAATTTATAATTTAAATTAGTGGCGACCAATCACAATCATCATATAAATAATTATCAATCTTTTTGTTTATATGGATGTCAAGTAAGGTACATTATTTATGTCATTATGTGTAGATAATAACTAAGAACGGATAGGATGAGGTTGATTTTAATTTGATTTAGTTATTATTATTTTTTTATTAACTAGAATAGAAGAAATGGTTTTCAGGATTGTGCAGATACATATCTTCTGTGTTGAAATACGATAAATTTATGATAACATTTTGAATATTATGTGAGACATAAAAATTTCACTTAAACATAAATAATCAGAAAATTCTTATTTACTGTTTATTTTAGTACTACATGGCCTTTTACTACTACATGGCATTTTTTTATGCTATTTCAGATTTTCCATTTACTTTATAAACTAGTTTTACTAAAAGTTATTGTTTTTATTATTTATTTTAGTATTGCATGGCCTTTTACTACTACAAGGCATTTTTTTATGTTATTTCAGATTTTCCAGTTACTTTATAAACTGGTTTTATTAAAAGTTATTGTTTATAAGAGGGAAATTAACTTATTAAGGTAATTAACTTTTTGGTTTGTTCACATCTAGATAACTATTTTTTTATACACATCTAAGTAACGGATTTTTTGGAAATGTTTACATATGACTATTATGACCAGTTGTAGCATTTTACATCCGGTCATAATGGTCATATGTGAACACTTTCAAAAAGTTCGTTACCTAGATGTGTAAAAAAAATAGTTATCCAGATGTGAACAAACTGAAAAATTAATTATCCTGATCAATCAATTTTTTTTCTTTTTTATTTTACCTTCTAATTTTGATTTGGTATAAAATTTAATCTAAATGGTAAATATTTTGAAAACCACACTATTTTGGTAAATATCTTTTTAAAATACACTACTTTGATAAAAATAAATAAATAAATAAAAATAATAAATAAATAAAAACTCTAGATTTGACGTTTGACGTTGAAAAAAACACATCATGGTTTTATAAAATTTTATTGTTTAAGACTAAAATTTAAATTTAATGAAACTTAACTTAATCTATTAATATTGTAAACATTATGATCGACTACCTTAATAAAAATGTAAATTGACTTATCAGGTTAATTACCTTTTTGTTTTGTTCATATTTGGGTATTTCTTTTTTTTACACATCTAAGTAACGAACTTGTTGAAAGTGTTTACATATGACCATTATGATTGGATGTAACATGTTACAGTCGATCATAATGATCATATGTGAACAATTGTAAAAAGTTCTTTATCTAGATGTCTAAAAAAAATAATAATTACCCAGATATAAAGAAACCGAAAAATTAATTAACTTAATAAGTCAATTTCCCTATATCAACTAATATATAGGTTTTCATACGTGATTAAAATTATAATCTTAAAAACAATTGAGCACCATGAATGGAACTTCTTCTAAGATCTTAAATAAAACAAAAGAAAAAATACAATAAAATGAAATAATGCACTTTCCTCTTTTACCCTTTTTCATCAAAACTCAAAAGTTACTACTGTTCACTAAAAGACAAAATAACAAGCTACAAAAGTCCACAACTCCTTTTCATGTGACCAGTCCACTTGGCTCTGTACTCTCTGCTCCCCCTCCCACCCCACTCCGCTCACGGGTATCCTCGCCGGAGAAATCTCCACCTCCGGCTAACCACTTTCCGGCGACCGTGAACTCAAATAACCAATAAATGCGCTTCAATTGGATTTGACATCTCCTCACTGGTTTGTCACATCTTTGCCTTTTCCTCTCACATGCTTTTCCAACCTAGTACAATTAATATTACCTCAATGTCTTTTTTTTCCTGCAATTAATTCGGTTTCTTTTTAAAGTTAAAAGTTCATTCTCTTTGATGAACATCTTCATATTGTACACTTATCTCTTTGATGCATTCATATCATTTTAGTTCATGATCTTTGATACCCATCAACAGATTCTGGAAATCTTTCTAAATCTTGTATCTTTGTGTGTAAGTACACTATCAGATTCAGCTCAATGTCCCTCTCTTTTTCTGAAATTACTGAAATGTTAACATTTGGCTTCTCATTTTCCCTAATTTTACTTCATAATCTTTCATACCCAAAAAAAAATATCTTGACTTCTGCTCGATCTTGTGTGCATTCACCTTATTTTAGTTCATAATCTTCCATACCCATCATCAGATTCTTGATTTTTGCTAAATCTTGAGTAAAATAGACCATCGGGTTCATCTCAAAATCCCCCTTTTTTCTGCATTTACTCGAAGTCTCGACGTTACCATTGGGGTTTTCAGTTATCCTTATTCTTCTTCATCATGTTTTATACACATCAAACATAATCTTCACTTCACACTCAATCTTTTAGTCTGCTTTGACCTTCACATCTCTCTAGTTATGAAAGTGATTGAATCAATGGGTCCAATTGTATGACTTTGGGTTTTTCCATATTTGGTTTTCTCATTTGTGTGTATTCTTGGAATTTGTGGGTTCCCATTGTATTATCTTTTTAATGCTTTTTCTATGGTTTACTTTCATTTGTGTTCACAAACTTTTGTTTATAACTGTATATTATAATACACATTTCAAGTTTTCAACTTAAAATATCTCAAACATGAGGCTGTCTTTCACCAAATCTCTATAATAAAAGGATATGAGTTATTATAGTGTTGGTCAAAGTTTCGATTTTTATTTCTCTTTTCCTGAGTGCGTTCATTGAATATATGAATTGTTTAGCACCATTTTGAGCTACAAAAAGTGATTACTTATATGTTCAAATGATCATCCTATCTGCCTAATCTGGGACCCATTTTTACCAAAGATTCAATTCACCAATCAATAAATTCATAACGTTTCATCAGAGATCACACCCAATTGAATATTTGTTTCTTTTTGAGTTTTCTCCATGGTTTGGTTATGGTGGACCAACAAATAATCAAAATTGATTCTTCATTCTTCACATGCTAATTTTCTTATTATTATACTTTGATGGCTAATCATATTAGCAGCCATTTTGGGTCTTTTAAATGAAATCGTTAAGCTAAATTCAGATCTTGTTTTAAAGAATGAAGCTTTCTTCTTAGCTAAATTCATTTGTTTGAATGTGCAGAGATCAGAGTTGCAGTTATAAGCATATGCAGGTATGCTTGGAAGACGGAAATTATCACTCTTCAGTTCAATCTTTTTGCTTCTTGTCGTTCTTTTACCGGTTGTTTTTTCAGAAATTCCATTGGGTTCAAGGCTATCTGTGGAATCGAAGAATCATTGGGCTTCTCCAAATGGAGATTTTGCAATTCGATTTTTTAATCGCTTAAATGAGTATGGCATTGGGATCCGTATAAACTCAGGGTTAATACCAGTTGAGAAACAACAAGTTGTTTGGGTTGCTGGTGGCGATTTAAGAGTAGGAGATAAATCATACTTCGAGCTCACCAACAATGGAGATTTGGTTCTTTTCGATTCCACAAGAGGAGTTGTTGTTTGGGCAAGCAAAACCACCAATTCATCTGTTGCTTCAGCAGTTCTGCAAAATGATGGCAATCTCGTTCTTTTGAATAATAAAAAGGACATTGTTTGGCAAAGCTTCGATACTCCATCTGATACGCTTCTTCCAGGCCAGAATTTATCTTTATCTCAAGTGTTACGAGCTGCTAGCAGAAATTCTGTTTCGAGTTTTTACAGTCTGAGAATTGGAGCCATCGGCGATTTGGAACTCAAGTGGGAAAACGATATTGTTTATTGGAGGAGTACAGCAACCCCAAATCAATCGGATCTTCGAGCTGTTCTTGCTTCTGATGGTGCCTTCCAACTGTTCGACAAAATGTCAAAACCAGTCTGGTCGGTTTTTTCTCAAGATCATGGTGAAGCAGATGTGAAGTTTCGGATCCTTCGGTTGGATGTGGACGGAAATCTCCGGTTACGCTCATGGACAAAAAACTCATGGAAAGTAGTTTGGCAAGCTGTCGAGAATCAATGTGATGTTTTCGCAACTTGTGGAGTGACCGGAATTTGTGCGTTTAACGAAACAGGCATTCCAGTATGCAAATGCCCGTATTCTCTGTCCTCTGTTCCTTCTTCCAAATGCTTGCTTCCATATCAACAAACCTGCAAATCCGGTTCTTCCATGATTAAGCTCGATCATACTTCATTATATGCTATTTATCCACCTAACGAAACGATAATCTCTCAAATCAGCTCTGACCAGTGTCAAAACTTATGCGAACAAGATCACCTCTGCACCGCGTCAACCTTCATGAACGACGGCACCTCGAAATGCCGAATCAAGAAAACACAATACGTTAGCGGTCAATCGGGGTTTTCTGTAAACTCCGTTTCATTTGTCAAAAGATGCAGCGATCCCATTGCTGTCATCCCCAATTTATCCAAATCAAAACCTGCAAATCCCTCACAAAATCCTCCAATACAAGATCCACATAGTGCAATTTGCGTTTCTTGTGTGATTGGAATCGGAGGCGTTACGATTCTCGTGTTTGTCGTGATTCATTTGGGCTTAACGGGGTTTTGGTTCTATCGAAGAAGGTATTCTTTCAAGACTCGGGCTTTTTCCGGCGATGGGCCTAACCCTAGTGGCTTTCTTGCTTTGACGTATGTCGAATTGAAGGACATAACCGACAATTTTAAACACCGGATCGGAAAAAGTACGTTCAAAGGCGTTCTCCCGGAAAACCAACCGGTTGTGGTCAAAGACTATGGTGCCATGAACGTTGACCCAAGAAAGTTTAGACGATTGATTTTGAAATTAGGAAGCATTCATCATAAAAACTTGGTGAGATTAGAGGGTTATTGTTGTGACCCGAGTTATAAGTTTTTGGTTCATGAGTTTCTCACAAATGGCTCACTTGAAAGTTGTTTGGAAGACCCGGGGTTACGAAAAAGGCTTACATGGAGGAAAAGATTGGATCTTTTACTAGCGGTTGCAAGGGCAGTTTCGTACTTACACATGGGGTGTCGAGAGTTCATAGGACATGGAAGTTTAGGTTGCGAAAACGTGGTTTTGGATGAGAATTTAGAAGCTAAAGTGAATGAATTTGGTCTCGAGAGTTTTCTTGGTGGCGGTGGTGATGGTGGTGGTGGTGGAGGAGTGTGTGCGAGGGACATACGGGACTTTGGGTTGATTGTGTTGGCGGTGGTGAGTGGTGACCCGAAGGCTGAGTGTGGTGGTTGTGATTGGGCTTATGAGAAATGGGTGGGTGGCAATGTGGCGGAAATTGTTGATAAGACAGTGGAAGGTGGTGTTGATGGTGATGAGTTGGAGCGGGTGTTGAGAATTATGTTTTGGTGTTTTCAGTCGGATGAGAGAATGAGGCCTTCAATGGGAGAGATAGTGAATGTCTTGGAGGGTGCGGTGGCTGTTGATCCTCCACCGCACCCTTCTGCTTGTTGTAAAATACCGTCGGAGGAAGGATCAGACTCTGACAGCACTTAAAAAACTAATGACTGCAAAATGCAGACATTAACTTCATTTTTGTACCTTTTTTTTTTGTTTATATTCGAGGCTAACTTAATTGTGTACAAGTTTTTAGATTAGCCTATTGAATTAGTTGAACTTTTAGCGTTGTGGAATTAGAAGTTTTGTAAATTTTGCCTAATGAATTGTCTTAATCTTTTCAACAATTATCTTGAATCATTTTTTTGTTCATATTATGGATTTTCGATGTGTAAAATTGAATAAGACAAATAAAAATTAGATGAATAAAACCCACTAAAATAAGAAGACAAAATTGTAAGAATGGTCCTTGTGGTATGTCTAAAATTGTCACTTTAGGCAAAACAGGTTTGGACTAGCATTAATGGTCCAAAAGTTTTCATTTTGTTGCCACTTTGGTCTATTTTGGTTTCATTTTTTACAAAATGACGATTTTGCCCTTTGTGTTTTCTTTTTTTCAATTTTTTTATTACAAAAATAAAAAAAGAAAAAAGAAAATACTCTCTCTCTCTCTCTCTCTCTCTCTCTCCACCTACCGTCTTCCCCATCCCTCTTCCATCTTTGTGTTTCACAGTTGTTCCTAAGAGTCATCCTCAAAGAGCATCTCCATCTCCAACAAAAAAAATAAGTAAGTCGTCTACATCCTGATCAACCCCTATCATCAACGTCCTCTCTCTCTCTCTCTTTCCTGTTTCTTGCTTACCACCATCTAAAGAAGAAACCGACAACTGTCGTCGGCCTAGGATCCCCCCCCCCCCCCC